TTGCAAATTTTGTTTTATTTTTATTAATGGAGTTTTGCTTTTTTAATTGCACTACAGGGTGTGCGTGTGTGTGTGTGGGCATGTCATTATTGTTATCAACGGCCAATACATGAAAATTGATTTTCATTATGAATGTTTTGAGTCTTCCATGAGCAGTTGGGACGAGGAAAGACGAGATGAGTAAGGGAAGTTCGGAGAAAAATACCGTACAGTGCTTGCGAATACAAACAAAAAAAGCGTAGATAAAAAAGAATGAGAACTGACTGATAATTTACTACATTGTACAATGGCAATAAATTATATAAAAAGCACTGCAACAACAAGAAAAAACTTCTGCGCAAAATATATGAACATGGCCACTTCACTGATTACGTGAAGCGAATACAAAATAAAAAGCTGAAAAACATATCGATCAATTATGAAAGAAAAAGTAAAAATAAAAATACTTAATTCAAAGAAATCAGTTATCAATATGTTTGTAGTATATGTGCTGCACACATTTATATTAATTTTCTCTTGTCTGCTGCCGAGGAAATCGCAAACAAAAATTGAGTGTGAATTGGTGAGCACTGCGAAATGCGGCAGAAAGAACTTAACAATCGTTGACGTCGACTGAGGCGACGACTTCGTCCAAAACGCACCCGCGATTTGTATGTAAATAAAAACAATAACTTCTTGATAAAGTTATTGCCATATAAAACCTACACGCGCACCAACACCGCACACCCACGCTGCAATGTGTGAATTCAGTATTACAATGCACACAAAGTAAAGTGAAACTAAAATAAAAGAAAAATATGTCCAAGAATACAAAAGTAAATGAAGCGACAAAATGAAAGTGTATGTAAGAGATTGAATGAAATAAAAACAATATGTGATGACAAGTGAAGAAATTTAAGTTTAAACTTTTTGCACCCACGCACACGTACGTACCGGTTACAATAATAGCTCGTTTACACGTCTGGGAAAGTAGTTTGTGTGATTTACAAATTCATATAATTAGATAGTTTTTAGAAAAACCCCTGGAAGGAATTCTCATCAAAATGCAAGCACTTCCAACTGATAAGGTAAGCCACAGAGACTTCGCGGGATATCCATTTTATAATATTGTCAAAAGCAAGAAATAAAATAAACCACATCATGTCTCGATATTTCGCGCAAAGAACAATTTTTGCTTCCCCAAAATTTCTAAAAAAAATTGACTATTCAAGTTTCAGAAAACTTTATGAATGGCTTCGAAAAAAATTTTTAAAAGTTTGGAAAGAAAAACTCGAAATTTCCGAAACAATTTTCAAAAACTTACGAAAACTTTCTGAAAAATATTTAATATCTCTTTAAAGCTTTCTAAAAAAATATAAAAATTTTTAGAAGTTATATAAAAATTCCCAAAAACGTTTGACATTTTCCGGGAATATCTAAAGGCTTCCAAAACTTTTTGAAGTTTCCAAAAATTTTTTAAATTTTACGAAAGTTTTTGAAAACTTCGCAAAGGTCTTGAAGAGTTCCGAAAGTTTTGGACAAGTTGCATAAGTTTTTTTTTTTTTTGAAAAGTTCCGAAAGTTTTTTGAAAATCCCGAAAGATAAAGGTTCGGAAAGTTCAAACTTTCCGAAAGTTTTTTTAAAGTTTGCGAAAATGTAATGAAAGCCTATGAATGTTTTTGGGAGTTTCCGACAATTTTTCGAAAGTTTACGAAAGTTTTTTCAGTTAATGAAAGTTTTCTGGACGTTTGAGAATGTTTGTTGGATATCTCCGAAATTTTTTTTAAAAGTTTCTAGATTTTTTTAAAGCTTCCGAAAAACTCCCAAAGCTTCCGAAAATTGTCTGAAAGCTTCGGAAAATTTTTAATGTTTTGGAATATTTTAAAAGTTTTGGAATATTTGAAAACTTTCGGAGTATTTTAAAAGTTTCACAGTATTTTTAAAGTTGCGGCATAGTTTCAAAGTTTCCAAAAAAACCTTCTGAGTAGAACATATTTTTCGAAAAAAATGTACGTTTCAAAAAAACCTGAAATTTCTCTTCAAAAAATTGAAAGTCACGAAAAATCTTGAGAAATCCCAATTATATTCTTCTTTCCGAACTATCTATGAATTAAGTCAAAATTTAAAACATTTTTAGCTCAGACACATTTTGTATTTTTGTCCTGGCTTTAAAAATAAAAAAGGAAGAAATTATCGATTTTAATTGGCAAAATATTGAGTCAAAATTTTGTGTACCATGAAAAAATCATATTCCCGAAAAAATCCATAAAATTTATAGAAAAGTTCCTAAAGTTTCCGCAAGGACCCCAAAAAGATATCTCTGGAAAATACGAAAAAAAGTGTAAGTTTCCGAAAACTCCGTAAAAAATACCTAGCTTCCAAACACAAGTTTGAGATCAAAAAAAAAAATCAAAAAGCTTCCGGAAATCCCTTTAAGTTTACGAAAAAGTATTAAAAGCTTAGAACTCCCTTAGAAAACTCATTAGATTTGTACCGTTGTTTCGAAATTTCAAATATGAGAGGTTGAAGTAAAGACCTTGGCCTTTAGGTGTGCGATAAGATCATGGTGGAATAATACAAGGTGTTGGATATTGACAGCGTTCTCGCT